AAGTGGGATCGCTGGGTCATAGAGCAGTTCTATTTTAAATCCTTTGGAGAAATCTCTGTACTGTTTTCTGCAGCGGCTGCACCAATTTACATTCCCACCAACAGTGTACCAGGGTTCCCTTTTCTCCACGTCCTGGCCAACACTTGCTCTCTCTTGTCTTTTTTATAACAGCCATTCTAACAGATGTGAGGTGATATCACATTGTGGTTTTGATTTGCATTTCCCCAGTAATTAGTGATGCTTGTCACCTTTTATGTACTTGTTGGTCATTTGTATGTCTTCTTTGGGAAAATGTGTATTCAGTTCTTCTGCCCAGTTTTACATCAGACTGTTTTTTATTTTGCTGAGTTGCGTGAGTTCTTTTCTTAATGAAGGTGCTGGGGATTGAACCCAGGACCTCATGCATGCTAAGCACCCGCCCTACCCCTGAGCTGTACCCTCCCCCTGTGAGATCTTTATATCTTTTGAATATTAACTCCTTATTAGGTGGATGATTTGCAAATGATATTTTCTCCCATTTCGTCGGCTGCCTTTTCATTTGGTGGGTGGCTCCCCTTGATGTGCAGAAGCTCTTGGGTTGGACGTGGCCCACGTGCCTGTTTTTGCTTTTGGTGCCATTGTCCTTAGTGTCCTGGGTCAGCCTTTGATCTTTGCACCAGATCAAACTAAGCCAAGAGCTCGCCAGTCCTTCAGCCTCACTTCTGACGGATCTGTTGGCTCTACTTCTTCCCCGGGGCCTTGTCCAGGTTTTGCTATTTGTTTAGAGGTTATTTTTAGGTGGCTGGACCAGTTTTGAGGTAAATCTTTTGGGGACTGATGCAGCATTATTTTTTGAGCTGATCATGACTATTTTCAACTGGGTATGAGCTCGAAGGCAGAAACATTTCCTTTTTAAGGCGCCGTTTCTCTGGCAGTTAGAAAGACTAATCCAAAAGATTAGTAAAAATAGCTGCTTGTTAAATGGCTTGAATTTGGGGAAGGCAGGCGCTGCTTCTGTTCAAGGATCCTCTCTGGGGTGAGAAGGAAAGAAGAAAAACCGAGAATCGCTATGGATGTCAATGAATAGTGAATCTCTTTCTAGAACCAGGAGTCCCTTCTTTTCTTTTTTAAAACTGGAAAGCTTACCTTTGTCAATGATAAACAGCACATACCTGACCCAGCAAGGGATCCCCAAAAATTTAAGTTAAAGAAAGAGTCCACTAACCTTTTGGGGGTCAACCCTGTACATCTGCTGGCTTAGCCCAGTGAATCTGATCCATTTCTCCATCTTTGAGAATCACCTAGTCTTGGGGCTCTCCCCATATTTTAGGGGTACAGGTGCCAGGCTCCCTCACCCCAGTGACAACAAGCCCAGAGGCAGGCTTTGTCTTCAAAGGTTACAGATAAACAGTGTATTTTCCTTTTAGGAAATGCCTGAAGTTGTCTTCTAACTTAAAACACGAACACACCCTTAAAAATAATTATGCTGAGTGAAATAAGCCAGACACAAAAGAACACTTATGGCTGGATTCCACTGAGATGTGGTACCGACTGTGGTCAGATTCATAGAGGGAGAAGGCGGAAGGGTGGGGGCCAGGGCTGGGGATGTGGGATGGGGGGGTTGTTGTTTAATAGCAGAATTTCAGTTTGGGAAGACGAAAACGTTCTGGAGATGAACGGTGTGTTGGCTGCACAATAAGGTGAGTGTACTTCATGCCCCTAAACTGTACATTTAAAACTGGTTAAAATGGTAAATTTTATGTTTTATATATTTTGTCACAATTAGAAAAGAAAAGTTCACACACACATTATTAGCCAGTGGGTATCATTAGCCCTGCAGAACCGTCTATGGGCAGGGGCTTCTGCAGGAAGACTACGGGGGTCATTAAGACCGGGATTTGAATCCTGCCTCCACCACTTACTCTTGCATGACCCCGGCAGAGGGCACATAACCTCTGACCCTCATCTGCCTTCATCATAAGGTAATGTTAATAATGTCCATGTCATTAGGGCTATGGTGGACGATCTTGGGACTAAAGCATGCAAAGCACTTGTGTTCCGTGCTTAGCACATGGCAGACACCCAACAAACAGCAGGTACAATTGGGAGCAGAGTCACTGTCTCCTTGAGAGCTCAAATTCATGTAAATACTAGGAAATCATAATTTTAAAGGAATAGCTAGTTCTTTTTTTTTCCTGGGGGAGGTAATTAAATTTATTTAGTTACCTATTTAATGGAGGTGCTGGGGACTGAACCCAGGACCTTGTGCACACTAAGCATGTGCTCTACCACTGAGCTATACCTGCCCCCCAAGAATAGCTTGTTCTAATAGTGTTAAGACTTTTTAAACTTTCTACTAGCAGACAGGTTAAAATTAGATTAAAAACTAATTTTCAGTCTCACAGTTGCTAATCCCATGTGTAGATGTGTCCTAAAAAGTATGCGTATACATTGGGGGCACCTGGAATTGTTGTTTTATGGTTAATGTTCAGATCTGGTTACTACTGGCAAGATCATTGGTGGTTAAAGAGAAAATACTATGAGGGGACATAAACGAACTTATTTACAAAATGGAGACAGACTTACAGACAAAGAAAACCAACTCATGGTAACCAGGGGAGGGTGGAGGATAAATTAGGAGTTCAGGATTTGCAGATACATGCTACTGTATTTAAAGTAGATAAACAATAAGGTCCTACTCTACAGCACAGGGAACTATATTCAATACCTTGGAATGGCCTATAATGAAAAAAAAATGAAAAGGAAGATATATGTGTTAATGAATCATATGCTGTACACCAGAAATTAACACAACATAAATTGACTATACTTCAATTTAAAAAAATAAAATAAACACACACATGCAAACCTCCCCCCGAAAAAGCAAAAAAAAAAAAAAAAAAAAGAAAGAAAGAAAGACAGAAAGAAAGAAAAAAATACTATGAGGGGAAGGTTTAAGGGTGAGAATCAGAAGTATATGAAGTAAGTAAATTCTGTTAGAAATATGTAAAAAGTAAAAAAATAAAAAGGTTATGTAGTCAGTCAACCAACAAGGTCTGGGTGCTTACCAGCCTAAGTGTGTGGGTTTTCATGGTGGGCTACCTGTGCGAGTGGCCCAGCCCCACCCCTTCCCAGTCGTGGCCAACTGTGGTGCTGAAGGTCACACACAACTTGTAAATGGTCTTGAAGAAAGTCTACTGAATTTATTTGGACAGTAACTTTGAGTCCTGCTGGGAGACCCCAAAACTACTTAAAATGGCATTTGTGTTTTTGGCCAAGTTTTTAGTGTCCTTGCTTTCTGCTTGCTAGAGTTTGAGTTCCTCAGCTTTCTTGATTTGACCAGCTCCCTTAGCTAACAGAACTCAACTTTTAATAAACTGTCTGGTCAGTCACTATTTCCATTTTGTGTTTCAAATAAAACTAGAAAAAGTTGAAAAAAATTAACTTAAGCAGAGCTTTAATGCCTGATAGAATTATTTAGGGCTAAAGGCATGTGTTTAGTTTTGGCTTGGGAGGACTGAGGCATAAGCATATGCCTTCCTGAAACAAATTTTTCTCCCCTGCCTACAAGGCATCTTTTCAGTTGATCATGATACTCAGATTAATTTGCTTACCAAATTGTCTTCCCTCACCTTGCTGTTAAAATTTGTTTTTATTGAGGTGAAATTTTACATAACATAAATTAACCATTTTAAAGTAAACAAGTCAGTGGCATTTAGAACATCAACCGTGTTGTGCAAACACCACCTCTACCTAGTTCCAAAACATTTTTATCTTCCCAGAAGGAAGGTTATACACATTAGGCAGTAGTTCCCATTCCCCGCTCCCCACTGGCAGCCACCAATCTGCATTCTTTTTCCATGGATTTACTTACACTGGATATTTCCTATAAATGGAATCATGTAATACGTGACCTATTGTGATTGGCTTTTTTCACTTACCATAATGTTTTCAAGGTTTATACACATTGTAGTACTTATCAGTATTTCATTCTTTTTTATGGCTGAATAATATTCTATTGCATGGACATACTACAATTTGTCTTCCCATTCATTAGCTGATGCACTTTTGGGTTGTTTTTAGCCAGCCTGGTGGCCCATGTTGGCCTTTGGGACCATGCTGCAGTAGCAGATAACAGCCCCAGTGCCCACCCCTGCAGCCGTCTTGCAGCATTTTCTTCTTTACTTGGTAGACCAGTTGTCAGACATGAAGTTCAATGAATGAAAATGAATTTCAGTGGCATTCCTAGATATGGAGTTTGAAAATTATTACCCTTTGGAGAATTTCGTTCTCCAAGGATTCATTTTTGTATTTAACACTTGGAAGACGTTGTGCTCTTTTCGATGTCAGAAAATTATAAAAGGCCATTGCCACTTTGGTCCTCTCCTCGTAGTTTACTCTAAACCATGCAGGATATTTGTTTTATCCGGAGCTTTCTCTGACTTCAGTTGCATAAACTGTACCAGTGGCGCCTGAGGTCAACTGGTCAGAAGAATCACTGGAAAAACTTAATGTAAGTGCAGATGGCTAGATCCTGTCCCAGCATAGCCTGCTTCAGGAGGCTGGACGGGCTCCGGGAGTCTGCATCTTTTCATGCATTACAGGTGGTTTGTAGACTGTTCTTTATGAGATGGTGGTAAATACAGATGCCCTGAGTTATCTAATAAAAATCTGTCAGATTGGAGGATGGAAATTTTTTTGGCATAACAAGTTAAAAGATATGTTTAATTTATTAAAGTCCCAAAGAATCCATCCCAATAAAATAGATGTTAAATGAAAACAGAAGAAATGTTTAAAATTTTCTATTTATTTTAATGGAGGTACTGGGGATTGAACCCAGGACCTTGGGCATGCTAAGCTTGCGCTCTACCACTGAGCTATACACTCCCTTAGAAATGTTTTAAATTTTTTGATTAAAGTAGATTTTGTTAATTCAGAGCAACTTTATATCAGCCCCCATATAATTTTTAACTATAAAATATAATAGTTGTGGTCCCCCTCTCTTCCTCGGTGCTACATACGGAGGTGGCAGCCATCTCCTAGTCAGCATCATGGCCGCCCTCAGACCCCTCGTGAAGCCCAAGATCGTCAAAAAGAGGACCAAGAAGTTCATCCAGCACCAGTCAGACCGATATGTCAAAATTAAGCGGAACTGGCGGAAACCCAGAAGCATTGACAACAGGGTGCGCAGGAGGTTCAAGGGCCAGATTCTGACGCCCGGCATCGGCTACGGGAGCAACAAAAAAACAGAGCACATGCTGCCCAGTGGCTTCCGCAAGTTCCTGGTCCACAACGTCAAGGAGCTCGAAGTGCTGCTGATGTGCAACAAATCTTCCTGTGCTGAGATCGCTCACAACGTCTCCTCCAAGAACCGCAAAGCCATTGTGGAGAGAGCAGCCCAGCTGGCCATCGGAATCACCAGTCCCAATGCCAGGCTCCGCAGCGAAGAGAATGAACAGACAGCTCGTGCACATTGTACTTGTGTTAATAAAGCCATGAAACTCAAAAAATAATAATAATAGTTATAGATTTACAGGAAGTTACCAAAAATATGTAGGGAGGTCTGCTATACCCTTCATTCAGTTTTGCCCAGTGGTAACTTCTTGCATAACTATAGTAACATATAGATAGTATATATATATATATTCAGATTTCACTAGTTTCACTGATTTGTGTGTGTGCACCTATATGTGTGTGTGCCTGTATGCAATCTTATCACATATGTAGATTCATGTAAACACCATCACAACTAAGACACAGAACTGTTCCATCACCACAAGTGTTCCTCGCGTTACCTCTTTTTAGACACGCTTACCCTTCTTCCTGCCCCTCTCCCTAACTCTGGCTCCCAGTAGTCCTAATCTGTTTTCTGTCTCTATAATGAAATCATAGAGTATGTGTCTTTTTGAAACTGGCTTTTTAAACTCAGCGTAATTCCCTAGAGATTCATTCAAGTTGTAGCATTTTATTAATCATTCATTCCTGTATTGATGCGTGGTATTCCATGGTACAGATACATCACAGTTCGTGTAACCATTCACCTGTTCTAGGACACTTTTGTTGTTTCTACGTTGAGCTACTACAAACAGAGCTGCTAAGAACATTCATGCACAGGTTTTGTATAAACATAGATTTCCATTCCTCTGGGATAAATGCCCAAGAGCGCAATTGCTCTATCATATGGCAAGTGCATATTTAGTTCTGTAAGAAACCACCAGACTGTTTTGCAGAGTGGCTAAATCATTTCCATTCCCACCAGCAGTATGTGTGTGTGATCCAGTTTCTCCACATCATCACCAGCATTTGGTGTTGTCACTATTTTTAATTTTAGACATTCTGATATATGCATAGTGATAGCTCATTGTGGTCTTAATTTGCACTTCCCTGTGGTTAATGATGTTGAACATCTTTTCATGTGCTTATTTGTCATCTGTACATTCTCTTTGGCAAAATATCTGTGCATGTCTTTTGCCCATTTTTAAATTAGATTTTTTATTTATTTTTATTGCATAGAATTTTTTTTACTGTTGATTTTTTTCTTTTTTTAATTGAAGTATACTCAGTTTACAATGTTGTGTCAGTTTCTGCTGTGCAGTATAATGTTTCAGTCATGCATATACATACATATATTCCTTTTCATATTCTTTTCCTTTATAGTTTACTACAAGGTATTGAATATAGTTCCCTGTGCTCTACAGTAGAAACTTGTTGTTTTACTGTTGAATTTTAAGAGGCATTTATGTATTCTAGATATCCCATTAAAAAATCTTTATTGCCTTTTCTGATTACAGAGGTAATGCATGTTCATTATTTTAAAATTCCAGCACATCAGAAATATCGACTACAGGGGGCGAGGATATAGCCTAGTGGTAGAGTGCATGCTCAGCATGCACAGAGTCCTGGCTTCAATCCCCAGTCCCTCCATTAAATAAATAAATGAATAAAAATTTAAAAAATAAAATAAGCGTAATTACCCTCTGTCAGAAAGAAATATATAACACAGAATATGAAAGCTCTCTGTCATGCTAGTCCAGGTGCAACCATATTAACTGACATTTGAGGATGTTTTTTCTTTTGTGTGTACTATAAACTTGTACATGTAAATACTTTTTTTAAACCAAAATGAGATGAATGCAAACTGTTTTAAAACTGCTCTTTTTTTTCCATTCCATAATTTATCCTGGACAGCTTTTCACAGTGGTTGGTAGAGACCTCCCTTGCAGTTTTTAACATCTGCGTAACAATTCAGTTGCACGTGGGAGCCTTTAGAACGGCAAAGAAAGCGTTCACTTGGAAGCCAGGAGAGTTCCTGTTGTGTCTTATGTTCCGTTTATGTTTGAGATTAACTGTCCTGAAGCCTATAGCTGTTCAGCACCTTAGACGCCAAGACAACTCTCAGGTTTACCTGAGCTCATGCTTTAAACTGAGGTATTAGTCATGTGGACTCACGGCCTGTTACTTTTTTTTTTTTTGGTCTGTTATGTTTTAATCAAGTTTTCTTAACAGCCTGTGACCCTCCTCTCCCCCAGTTTTCTTCCAGGAGCCTCTGATTCTGGTGTGAATTAAGCAGCTGGGAAAAACAGCTCCGGGTGTCAAGCTACAAACCAGCCCCGGAAACAGAATTTTTGGGATCTTTTCTTGGCGGCTTTGTGGAAATTGATCTGATGTTTTGCACAAAAGCTTCTTCCTCTCCTTCTGATTTAGATTAAAAGTCAAGGTCCCAACGGTGCCTCCAGGCCCTGTGTCATCTGTGCCCTGTTCTTTCTCGACCTCCTCTCCTGCCTCCTGTCTCCTGGACTCCAGCCATGGCTGCCCTTCCCCAAAGCCTCCTTCTTTGAGCTGCTTCTCCCCTCCTCCCCTCACATGGCCCACTCCCTCACCCCCTTCAAGTCTTTGCTCCTTTGAAAAAAAGACTAAAGACCTTATCTCAGTCTAATGTATTTATCAAGGCAGGTCAGCGGTATGATTTCCCAATTTATACTTATTTCCAACAGAAAGGTTTGGAAAAATGTTTCAGCAATAGAAGACCCAGCTCTGGAATATCCAGAATCCTCATCTCCCTTTATTCCAGATAACAGAAGGATGGAAATTAAGTGATCTTCTTGGCACAAATATCCTCTTCCTCAGTAACCTGTACCATCATTCTGTCTCTAAAGAGCAGGGAAAAATCCTCTTGTCAACTGAGTATAACCAGTGGTATGAATGGGACCCCGACTGCCCTCGTTAAAATGGTAATCTCCTTCACACATTCCCTTTCCACAGCCCTTATTACTATAATGTTTTATATTATGGTTAAAATGTACCTCACATAAAACTGGCCATTTTGACCAGTTGTAAGCACACAGTTCAGTGGCATTAAGTTCACTCACATTGTTGTGCAGCCGTCACACCGTCCACCTCCAGAACTCACTTCATCTTCCCAAACTGAAACACTCAGTCCCCCTCTCCCGCCCCCAGCCTCCGGCCCCCACCCTTCCACTTCCTGTTTCTATGAATCTGACCCCTCCAGGTACCTTATATAAGTAGAGTCATATTGTATTTGTCCTTTTGTGTCTGGCTTATTTCACTTAGCATCAGGTCCTCAAATTTCCTCCCTGTGGTCGCAAGTGTCAGACCTTCCCCCCTCTCTAAGGCTGAATAGCATTCTGTTGTATGGCTGGACCACGTTCTGTTTATCCATTCATCCGTGTGTGGATACCTGGGCTGCTTCCGCTTGTTGGGTATTGAGAATAATACCTTGTCTTTTCATATTGCGTAAAGTTACATTCCATGAGGGCAGAGATTGTTGTCTGCTTTGACTGTCGATGTATTTCACATGCTTGAAAACAGAGCCTAGTGCCTAGTAGGTGCTCAGCAAATATTCTGAATGGATGGATGGATGGATACGTGCATGCGCTCTTTGCCTGTCGCTGTTGTTGGCTGTGTCAAGCTCTCCTGTTGTCGTGCTTCGGAGGTTGTAGGTCCATTTGGTCATCACTGAGCAGGCGCCTGCTCTCAGCTGGTGCTGGTCCAGGCCTGCTCCCACTCATTCATTCATTCATATTTATTTTGCTTCTACTGTGTGCTGGGTCGCGGGCCAGACATATGGCCCAGGGTGAGCAAAGCCAGGCTCTGTCCCTGATTTTCTGGGCTCTGGTGGGGGCCCACACAGACATCAGTCAGGTAATCGCACAGATCTCAGACTAAGGAGCTGTGGGACAGCACGTCTCCTCCCCTCTCTTCCCACTACATACAAGTGGTCCTGTGGCGCTTCTTATTTTTCAATCGTTGAGTTTTGAAAGTTCTTTGTATATTCTTTTTTTTCTTTTAAATGAATATTTATCGGCATGGAAAGATTCTCTTGATGTTTTCGTTTTCAAAGGCACCTTTATTGTGGTATGGTTCCTGTGCAGTAAACGACATGTATTTCTCCTTATGTATCCTTGATTCAAGTCTTTTGTTGGCCAAGTGATTTGTAAATAATTTCTCCAAGTCTGTGATTTGCCTTTTCTTTCACTTATCAGAGTCTTTTGCAGAGCAAATGCTTTTCATTTTAATGAGGTCCAGTTTATCCATTTTTCCCTTTAGGGATATGTGAGGATAGTTTTTTTTAATTGTTGTAAAATGTGACGTAAAAATTACCATTAGTGGCCCGTTAGTACGTTCAGAATGTTTGTACAATCATCACTACTATCCACTTACAGACATCTTTTTAGGGGAGCAGGGAGGTAACTAGGTTTATTTGTTTGTTTATTTTTAAATAGAAGTACAGGGGATTGAACCCAGGACCTTGCACATACCAAGCACATGCTCTACCACTAAGCTATCCCCTGCCCCCCGCTGCAGACATTTCCATCACCCCAGAAGGAAACCCCTGCTCATGCCCTCCTCCTCGGAGCCCCTGCTTCCTGTCCCCGTGGATCTGCCCACTCTGGACATTTCACAGACAGATGGAGCCGTATCACATGTGGCCTTATGTGCCTGGCTTCTTTCATGCAGCACGATATTTTCAGATGATAGATTTTTGGGGGTCAGACTGTGGCTGTACGATGACAGCCTTCATTCTGGGTGGGTCCTTCACCAGCCTAACTTCCATCAACTCCGGGCTTCCTGGCCCCTTCCTCACTTCCAACCCAATTGCCTGTCCCTACCCAGTGCCTTGTTCTCCAGCCCCTCCAGGAAAATCAGTCCTCAGCTGCTTCCTCCCCCTCTCCCTCCCCCTCCACACCCTCTCCCAGCTGAGAGCCCCATTCTGGTTCTCTGTGCACGTCTGGTCCAGACATTTGGCTCTGTCCTGGGCATCCCAGTGGAGTTCCAGCCCTGGTCTCATCTCGAGGTCTCCTACCACCGCCCTGTCCTTCATCATCCAGCCTGCTCTCCCGGATTTCTTCTTTCCCATCATCAACCCCCGGTGGTCACTTACAAGCAGAAAATGGGTAGGAAAATGGACTTCAGAGCGTTCATTCACTGGCCTAAAACACTTGGGCAAGCCACTCAGCCTCCCTACGCCTTAGTTTCCTCCTCTGTGATGAGGGATAGCACCTGTCTCTTGGTCATCGCGGGGATCACATGGGGTGGCCCTCGGTCATTGCAGAGAAGAAGGTTGGCGATTGGCAGATTGTATTTAACAAAGTGGCCACACCAATAGCCCCTGTCCCTAATGTTCTAGGACCTTGTCATGATATCAAGAGATGGAGTGTAAGCCCCCCCCGAATCTGGGCAAAGTGATGACTCATAACTAGTGTGACATAAATGACACTAAATGACTTCCACCCACAGAATCCATCAACATCATAGAAGGGTTGTTCTCTGCCTCTAGGTTGTGGGCTGTGTTGTTACACAGCAGTGGTAACTAGAACAAGGATAAAGATGCTGTCTTGCCAATTCTATCTTCTTATATATCTGAATCTGGCCACTTCTCCCTGTCCATCTCCGTGGCCACCATCTTAGTTTGGGCCCTTGTTTTTGACTTGAATCAAATTGTAAACTTGTCTTTCTGCCTCATGCCTTGACCCTCCCAGCCTCCTTTCTCCCACACACATCTTTTTAAATTGCAAACATGGCCCAATCACCTTACCTAATCCTTACCCACGTAATGACTCCCAGTCATTTCTAATTAAAGTCTGGAGAGGTTAATCACAACATTAAAAGATTCATAGTGTAGAGAAATGTAACTCACTATAAGGAGGTACTTCACCTTATTTTATCCCAGCCCACTCCAATCCTGCCTCGAAAAAAAAAAAAAAGACAAAGAATGTGATAGTGTTCAGAGCATTTGATATTTTTGGAAACAGAAAGTAGGTTCTTTACTTGGGAAACATGTAAGTACTCTGAGTCCATGCATTCATGAAAAATTACTTTAAAACCCTTCAGGCTCTGAAAATTCCAGATCGAAAGGTAAAAAATGATATATTCTTGAGTTAGTCATTGAATTCAGCATGGAAAAATTAAATATAATTTAGTCCTGTGTGATTTTCAACCATGCAATGGCTCTTAGGTGCGTCAACAGTGAGAAAGAAGACGTGGCCGGGGATGCTGGGTGCATGACGCCCAGGGGAGCAGACACAGGCATTTGGGATCCTTCTTGATAAACAAACATCTACTCCACTGGACTCGTCAACCCAGCATCTCCCCCAAATTCACCTTTTAAGCATCGGCAGACAGAACAGATAAAACTTGGAACTTAAAATAGGATGCTTGCTTTCTGGCAAGTGTATTTTAAAGGCTGTGTTTTTCAAACCTTCAGAGGTTGTTTTTAACTGATCCTTTGGAATATGAGACTCCATGAGGCATAATTTCAGGTTGTAGCTGTTTCCGAAATGCAAATTGAGAGGACCTCCTTCCTTGTTGCTTACACGGTATGTGGCCAAGATCACTTTGGGAACTGTAGTAAAATTTCAGAGTCAACGGAGCAAATGAAAAAAGCCTTTTCAAAGTGGGAAAATGGAAATATCTTTTAAAAATGCCCTTTGTCTTTGAACCATGAAGTTTTGCCTTGAAAACGGCAGCTTGCCCCTGTCATATTTAGAGCTACGTTCTCCAAAGCCTCAAATTCTTCTGTTGAAAGGCACTTCCTTCTGCTATTTTATCACCTTCCTGGTTTTGTCTAATCTCATCCAGATTACGGTCATATTTCTTGGGGGTTTAATGTGCATATTAAAATTTCAAACGCAGAGTCTTTGTTCCGCAGCCTTGACTTTTCGTGCACCCTTAGACATATTTTGGGACTCTTACAAAGAACAATGTTTTCTTTAAATAATCTTATGTCTTTAAACCTACTTTGTCATGTTCGACTTCTAAAATTTTCATGCATTCTGATGAGGTATTCTATTTAGAGAGTATTTTGTTTTAATTAAGCCCATCTTAAGAGACATTTGGTTTTTGCCAAGAATGTGCTCTCTCCCTTACAAATCAGTTATATTTATAACACTCATAAACTAAGTTATTAGCAAAGGCAAAATTGTAGCTGCGCTGTGGCTGTGTCTTCTGGTTCATGGGGAATTAAAGTGAGTCAGAACAGGCCAAGTCAAAACACAGTGCCAGTCAAGACGCTATGAACACACGTGGACTCTACTTTCAGTAATTTTTTTCTTCTGAAATGCTTTAAAATTTTTTTAACTTTTTTTTAAATTAAAAATATTTTGGGGGGAAGTAATTAGGTTTGTTTATATTACTTTAATGGAGGGACTGGGGATTGAACCCCAGACCTCATGCATGCTAGGCATGCACTCTACCACTGAGCTATACCCTCCCCAAAACTATTTTATAGAACAATTTCTCGTCTCTGAAAAAGAATGCAGAGGCTAGGTTGCTATGTTTGTGAGCAAATTATGGAGAAAAGCTTCATTAGAAACGAATTCTTCTTTTGTTCAATTAGGCTGCATTGAAAAATTCAAGTTTCTCTTTTCCTGAATGTTACAATATACATCCACATAACAGAATACAAAGAAAATACAGAAAAACACAGACATAAAAATTAAATTCATCCATCTCTTATCAAAAGGCAACCAATATTAGTATTTTGGTCTCTTTTGTTGGTAATATTTTATACTTTTTTCTGTTTATGAGGGTAAGATCATACCATACATGCAATTTTTATCCTGCTTTTTTACGGTGGTAAAATACACATAACCTGAAATCTACTATTTTAACTATTTTTGTTGTTGGTTTTTGTGGGAGGTAATTAGGTTTTTGTTTTTTTTTAAACAGAGGTGCTGGGGATTGAACCCAGGACCTCACGCATGCTAAGCACACGCTCTACCACTGAGGTATACCCACCCCCGTTTTAACCATTTTTGAGTGTTCAGTTGAGTGGCATTAAGGACATTCTCATTTTTGCATCACCATCACCACCATCCATCTCCAGATCTTTTTCATCTTCCCAAACTGAAACTTGTACCCATTAAATAGTAACTCATCATTCTCCCTTCCTTCCGGCCCCAGACAAACGTCATTCTACTTTTTGTCGCTATGAATCTGTCTCTACGTTAGCCTGCCTTTTAAACAACATTCTATCACAAGCATTTTTCTATATTATTAGGGTCTCTTTATGACTGATCAGTATTCTGCTGTATGGATTTGTGAAACGGTTTACCGAACTGTAGCCCTACTGTTGATTGGTCTCCTAGGCTTTTTGTTTTTAAATTTTTCCATTATAGATGATGCTTTGATCAGCAATTGTACTTTATAGGATAAATTCCTAGAAGGAGAATTATGGGGTGACAGTGTGTGTACGTTTGAAAAGCTTTTTAAAGATATGGTCAATTTACTCTTCCTATAGGGTTTTATGAGCCTTCTCCAGCACAGGTAAATCTCTCTCTCTCTCTGTCTCTCTTTTTTCTTCCTTTTTGCTAATTGCATTGCTGGTAAGTTTGAATTTATTTATTAATTTTAAGAATCATTTATCATCATGCGTGAATGACCTGTTGTATTCAGCTTATTACTCAGGGGTTAAAACGGCAGGGAAACCTAAGTTTGCTGGGATGAAGCTACTTTTCTGAATAATTCCACAGGAACACTGACTTTTGGGGTGTACTGCTGAGTTCAGTGGGGCACACTGCAAATCAGTCATGTCAGATTTCAGATCTCATCCAGGCTTTTCCTGCTTTCTAGCAAATTCCTGAGCTGCTCTCTTTTGCAGGAAAGGGGCCTCCTGAAGGGGCCAGGACGTGGATCCTAAGCTGTGTGACGGGGGCAACGAATCACCTCTCTGAGCCGCCCCATCCACTCCAAGGGCTTGCCTAGCTCTAAAACCCACGGGAAGGGGAGGGTTTAGCGCAAGTGGTAAAGCACATGCTTAGCTTACACAAGGTCCTGGGTTCAATCCCCAGTACCTCCTCTAAAAGTAAATAAATCTAACTACTCCCCGCTGCCAAAAAAAAAAAAAATCCACGGGAATAATAACACACATTTAAAGTCCTCAGGCTCACTTGAGCTCTGACAAGGAAAGTGTGTGGCACCCAGTAGGAACACAGTAAATGCTATTTCCCACCTAGGTGATTCCATTTCCGATGGCAGCATCAGCAGAATGTGATGAGGTGGTAACGTTTGTCACGCTCCCTTATACATCGATTCTCTAGAGGGAGGTAGTGGAGGGGTCCTCTCTGATCCTCGGACACAGTGGTGAGTTTCCATAGTGAGTCCTCCACTATTTCCCTCCACGATTCACCTGGTGGCATGTTGGCTGATGAGTAGCCTTTGTGATCCGGGAATGACCCTCAGTTCTGTTAACTGGAAAACCCACACAGTCTGAAGAGCTGGAAGGGACTTTGGAACCCACAGAGGTCAGATGTGGTTTCTCTTATTTCTGCTTGAATGCTTCATGTGATGGGGTGCTCACTACACCACGGGGTAGACAATTACATCATTGGACAACTGTCCTCAGGGTGTCAAGCTGACCAGGGAAGGAAATAGGGAGGTACGTTCCTGGCAGAGGAAAAGTCATAATTTGAGTCTCTTCATTACTCCTTGTCTTGTGTTTTCTGGGAGACACTTTGTTTTCAATCCTCCAGGACAGACAAATGCAATATCTATAATTAACCGTGTCTGTTATTAAATTCCACACCTTCGTGGATAATTCTTGCTGAGGTGCATGGAATGCAACGTGAGGGAGTAACACGTGCCTCAGAAGTCATAGGAGCTCAGACCCGCCTGGTGGGACCCAAATGAAAAAGCTCCTCCAGCCTTTGAGCTACAAGCTGTGTCCTCGCCACGGAACTTGTCACCGCGTCCTCACACACCATTTCTTGCTCCCAAGGAAGAATTCCTAGGATTGAAACTGATAAATAAGTCAACTGTTAGTTGTCAGTGATGGCTGGGGATGAGGGTGAGACATAAATAAACAGGTAACATTCAAATTGCATTCCAACTGCTATCATTGTAATGTCTCCTCCTATCAAACTTTCCATAAGGAGCAGAATGGGGCTACTTTGGAAGGTGGTTCCTTTTCCCTTTCTGTTTTTTTCTTCCTTCCTGACCTTGTGGGGTGTGAATGATCCAAGGGCTGGGTACTCCTCGCCCAAGTAAGAAGCAGGCGTGGAAATGTTAGATGATGTGCTTGTAGGAGAGAAACGGCTAGAAATCAAACAGATGGGATCCCACGCGCTGTTTTTGGAAAACCAAAGCCAAAGTTCAGTTTGATTGCATGGCCAAGCCCCCTCTACGTTAGACTCCCGACCTGGGATGTCCCACCAGAAGACAGGCTTATACTGTTTCAGCTTCAGAATCCACAACCACATCAGCTCCACGTCTGGCAGATGAATCCGTGGGCAGCTCCCCATGGTTTCTGGTTCTGGGAGATTCAAGTGAGGACCAGACAGCGGGAGGACTTTCAGAGAAGCCACCTTCCTCTGTCTTCCCCTTCTCTTTCCAGATTCTGATTATTAATAATTAATTTTTCCTTTTAAGCCTCTCTGGCTGTTCTTTTGGACTAGGCTAAAGCACACTTTGCTTTTTTTTTTTTTAATTTCCTTTTATTCTAATCACAACATCCCTCCGGGCTGAAGCTTCTGCTCAGAAACCCGGCAATTAGAAGAGGCAGCCAGTCTTTTTAGCACTTCATTTCAAGCCCGGTCATCAATAATTAACCCGAAGTTACGCTCAGCACACAAATGGACGGGGTGCAACTGGCGATGGCGTGGCCTCTTTCCCTCCTGGGTTTTTACCCGCTTCGCGAAATCCAGGAAGCGGATGCAGGTCTTTCCATTAGCAGGAATGGGCTGTCGGCTCTGGAACACTTAGTGAACTGCTTTTCTCCCGCACTTAAACTTGAGAGTTGTTCACGAAGCCGTCGTCTGAGACTCAGGACAGCATTTTCTCCTACCAGCATCTCCAGGCCCCCTAAGGCTGCAACTGCCTTGTACACATTTTATTTTGACCTCCTGCCAAGTCAGTCTCATCCCTGGGGATGACGGTGGAGGGTAGAAAGTAGATTCAGAACAGGCTGGGTCAGTTTGACCCAGATCCAGTTCTTGGCTGAAACAGTCATGTTGAAGAGGTGGCTTAAGATGGGTTGATTGCCTTTCTTCCTCCCTCCCTTCCTCCCTTCCTCCTTTCCTCCCTTCCTTCTTTCTTCCTTTCTTCCCATCTTTCCTTCTTTCTTTTTTTATTTCTTTCTTTCTGTCTCTCTTTTTCCTTCCTCCCTTCCTTCTTTCTTTTTTTATTTCAATTGATGTGAAATTCACATAGCATAAAATTAACCATTTTAATCACAAAAGGGCAAATACCGTATGATTCCACTTAGTTGAGGTCCCCAGAGGAGTCAGATTCCTCGAGACAGAAAATGGAAGGGTGTCTGACAAAGGCTCAGGGAGGAGGAACAGGGAGTTAGTGTTTAATGGGGAAAGAGTTTCAGTCTGGGAAGATGAAAGAGTTTTGGATATGGACGGTGGTGGTGATGGCCGCACAACAGTGTAAACGTACTTAATGCCACTGAACTGCACACTTAAAGATGGCTAAACTGGTACATTTTACGTGATGTAGATTTTACCAAAAAAAGTCTGTAAGTTTTTTAGATTAACAACGTTGAAGTGTAAGTTCAGTGGCAGTCAGTACGTCTGCAGTGTTGTGCAAGCACCACCTCTAGCTAGTTTCCGAACATTTTCGTCCCCAAAGGAAAGCACATACCCGTAGCAGCCCCTTCTCATCCACTACGTGTCCCCCACCTGTCCCTGGCAACCACCACTTTGCTTTCTGCTTCTGTGAATTTATTTATCCTCGATACCTTGTACAAACGGAATTGCGAATTATGTGGTCTTCCATGTTTGGCGTCTTTCACAGAGGGTCATGTTTTAAGGCTTCATCGATATTGCAGCATGTCACTGCTTCATTCCTTCCTGTGGCTGAGCAGTGTTTCATCGCACAGATCTCCCACCATCTGTTCATCCATCCCCCACTGATGGATGACAGACACTCGAGATGTTCCCACCTTTGGCTCTTGTGAATCGCGCTGCTGTGCACATGGGTGGACCAGGATTTGCTTGGGCACCTCGGCTGGGATGGTTTAGCTGCTTGTGGCTCTCCACTTCTTTCTCGCCTTGTCAAGAAGGCTGTCCTTCCCCACCCGTGGCCAGGTTGGTCCTGCTGGGGCCTCCTGCAGCATCGCTTGGAAAACCTGCTAGGTGACATGTCTCAGAGGGTCACAGCCTTCGGAGGCCACCCTGCAATTAGTCAGCTGCCTGATCGTGCTCCCTGGGGAGGGTGCTCAGCGACGTGGGTGGGTGGTTCTGTCATCAGTTTTCTAGATGCGCCACCGAAGGAAGGGGAAATCACAGCCTCTGAGAGGCAGGTGCGTGGAGAATCCATCTCCCTGAGTCACCTTTTGGCACACCCTACTTCTAGGTCCCTGGGTATCCTGTCTCACCTCAACTTTAGTGTGAACAGGATGTGTATTGAGGTGAAATTCACATCACATACAGTTAACCTAATGGAGGCATGGGGATTGAACCCAGGACCTTGTGCAAGCTAAGCATGCACTCTACCACTGAGCTATACCCTCCCTACATACAATTAACCATTTTAAAATGTACAATTCAGGGGTGGATGCACAAGGTCCTGGGTTCAACCCCCAGGACCTCCATGTAAAATATTAGATGTATTCTTTTTAAAAATGTACAGTTCAGTGGCATTTAGTACAGTCACAATGTTGAGCCACTGCATCTCCATTTAGTTTCAAAGCATTGGCATTGCCCCAAAACAAACCCCCATCCGCATGAAGCAGTCACTTCCCAACCCAAACCCTTTGACTTGTCATTTAAAAATTCAGTTCTACATGTGAAGCTGGGCCCCTGGACCGGTGTCCACACCACATGGTAGGGGCTCAACAAAGATGTGATAGAAGATGAGAAAAGAAGCGGGGGGCAGGTGAGGACATCGGTCATATCTGATGAGGCTCAGGACTCCCTGGGACGTGTGCTATTCCAAGAGTAACTGAATTGTTTTCCTTTTTCTGTGTTCCCAAGTCTTGAAGAACAGGGGCAGTGGAGGCAGGACCATGGCCACTCCCTCCACTTTCTACCTGTGTGGTGTCGGGCAAGTTAATCGATGTCACTGAGACTCGGCTTCCTCACCTCTAAGGGAGCCTAACAATCACCACCTGGCAGGGTGGCTGGAGGGCACGTAGCACTGAGGCTGGCACACACACCCTGAATATTGTCCTTGTTCAGGCTGGAGACGGTGGTGACGCTGGGGGACAGTGGTGAGGAGGATGTTGCTGATGGTGGTAGTGGTGGAGGTGCCAGGGGAAAGCCACTCACTCTGATTGCCTGTTCTGATCTTAAATCCAGGAGTGTTAAAAGGAGGCAGGTAGGTAAAGAATGAGGAAGATTGAAAAACTAAAAACAGACTTATCTCATGATCTAGCAATCCCACCCCTAAGCATACATCCAGAGGAAACACTAATTTGAAAAGATACAGGCACCCCAATGTTCATAGCATCACTATCTACAATAGCCAAGACATGGAAGCAATCTACATGTCCATCGACAGATGACTGGATAAAGAAGTTGTGGTTTATATATACGATACAATACTACTCAGCCATAAAAAAGAATAAAATAACGCCATTTGCAGCAACATAGATGGACCTGGAGATCGTCATACTAAGTGAAGTAAGCCATAAAGAAAAACACCATATGATATCAGTTATATGTGGAATCTAAAAAAATGACACAAATGAACTCATTTACAAAACAGAAACAGACTCACAGACATAGTAAACAAACTTATGGTTCCCAAAGAAGAAAGGGGTTAGGGGAGGGATAAATTAGGAATTGGGGATTAGCAGATACACACCATATAAAATAATAACAAGATCCTACTGTACAGCACAGGGAACTATGCTCATTAGCTTGTAATAACCTACAATGAAAACGAATAGGAAAAGGAATATATATACATTATAGGTATAACTGAAGCGCTATTCTGCACGCCAGAAATTAACACAACATTGTAAACCAGTTATATTTCAATTAAAAAAAAAAAAGGAGAGAAAGACTTACGAGGACTTTGCCTCCACTCGGGAGAAGCCCAGAGAACTTGAAAACCTTTTAAGAAATTAGGACACTGTCTCACCCAGACTCACCTGTTCCGACAGGGTGTCTCCCTGAGATGGTCCGGAAGGCCTTGTTTCTTCTCGCCTTTGAACTTGGACGCTGTGAAGGAGGGTTGGAAAGGCGATGACTAAGCTCCCAGCCAGCTGACAGGCAGCCTTGTGCTGAGCCAGCAAGCGCCGGGAGAGTGCGCCCCGGGCAGCGCATTCATG